CCCTTTCAAAATTTAATAAAATACGATGAAATTTAATTTCAATTAAATGGTTTTTCCTTATTATCAGCTCTTCGATTACAAACTCTCTGTTGGAAAAGAATTGCAAGATGCAGACGTCGGTCGTACGAGGGTTACGCATTAGAATCCTGATTGCCGTTTGTTCTATAAGCGGAATCAGCCGTTACATTACGTTAACGGTCCGCGAACTCCCATTTCGCATGATATTAACCCGCTCTAGTAGAACACACGAGTTGATTGAAACTACACACGACGTTCTGTTGATTATATTTTTTTGACAAATAATAATAGACATAGGAACTAAATTTATTGCTAAATTTAATTTGAAGATATTTCAGCTAGATCCTCTATTTCTAAAGCTATGGGGCCGATTCTGCCGTCAATGTTATAGCAAGGCTATGTTACGTAGTTTTTTTCATATCATCAAAATAACTTCAATAATTTAACAATTTATTTTATAAATAATTTTTCATAAAGATGCTGGTTGAGCATACTTATAGTAGACGAGGCTGGAAACGGTTGTGATTTTTTTTTGATCAGCAATAATTTGGTTAATTCACCCGTTAGCTAAATTAAATAGTAATTTGAACATTTGTCTATGATAAAATAATGAAATACTGTTCTTAAATGGCGATGGATTAGTTATAAAATCAAATCATACAAGAAAAGAGCGAGTGTAAACGAGGCATAAAAATAGTTCAAAAATAATAGCTATAAACACCAAAATGGTTTATAATGACTCTTATTGTCAGAAATATGTAACACACACGACACAATCATTTAAACTGAATATGATATAACAAATAAAAAAACATAATTTTATATGTAAAAAAACTAAAAATACTAACTTGTTCAAACAAACATATTTCCTACCTATACTTACTTCAAAATAAGTATAGTATAGCACAACCGTACCCAGTCTCCCCTATACAATTTTCCGACCTATCCTAAGTTCCATCGATGTTCCAAAAGTATTGGAGAATTTTCTGGTAGCCTATAAGATTATCTATAGAGGGGTTATTGTACGTTGTACCGTTGTTGCAAAATGCGGGGTTAAACGTCACGCCTGGTCCATTCAGTCTGACCTGTCAGTCACTTATGCCATTATTGGTTTTGACAATGTCTGTCTGACTTGGAATACTTCAGACCACTCAACGCATAGAGCTCAAATCTATAAAGATATACGACGAGAAATAAACATAGGAAATGTTCGGGAAAAACATTGGTGTAATTGCTCACATAGTTTATTCATACATGACTTGTGTAAGAAATACTTTTTTATTCTTTTTGACCTTACATAAAACAAGGCATTTAGCTACTTACAACATTTTTCAAACGATTTTTAATTTTTATCAAATTCTATTTGATTCTAATCAGAAGTTCCACAAAACCGATATAAGGCAGCAGAGACATGGGTATTTCACTTGAAAATATAGACATCAAAATATTTCTAGGTTATACAACTTTAAAAAAGCGGATTCCAATCAGAAGTTTTGTGGCGGGAATAGCTCACGCAGTAGCGTTCTCGACTCACACGCTGGAGGAATTCGGTTCAAATCTCCAGCAATGCCAGAATTAAAAATATAAAATATTAAAGTAGCTTAATCTACTTTATTTGTAGGATACAAGAAAAATTATATTAGAAGTAAGAAGGAAAAAAGAAGTTTAGTTTAAAAGATGAGAAGAACATATTGAGAAACAAGAAGAAGAATGAAAATTGAATGGAATTGAAGAAAGAAAATTGAATGGAAGATTAGGATAAAGCTAAAAATGCTGTAAAAGCGAAGGCCAATAAAATTTAAAAAAAAATCAGAAGTTTCACAAAACCGTTATAAAGCAGCAGAGACAGACAATGGTTTTGACTTGAAAATACAGATAGAAAAGTGTTTCCAGGTGATACCGATTAAAAAATAATTTTTTTTATCAAAATTCATGGGATTCCAATCAGAAGTTTCACAAAACCGATATAAAGCAACAGAGATATCGGTTTTTTCACTTTAAAATATAGACAGCAAAATGTTTCCAAGTGAAGATGGCATTTATCAGTATTTCAGTAATTGTAATAATAAAAATTCATCAAATGACATAGAAATCGTAGGCTTGTTATCTATAAAGCTACGTTATTAAGAAATTTTACAAAAGCTTATGGGACTCGTTAAGTTCAGATTGCTCAAAATAATAATAAATTATAATAAAATATTATGAGTCTATCATCAAAATTATAATAAAAATATCATCTTCGCCTATTTCCATTCAATTTCAATATTTCAATTCAATTATTAATACTTATGTATTTAGTAAGAACAAATTACTATTGCTGTTGTTTTTAAAAAGTTTGT